ATTTATTATATATAAATATTTTTATAGGTGGTGATTCCTTGGGAAGCTATTGCATCTGCTTGCAGTGAATTAGTGCAGGAGGACCCTCACAGCACTTGGAAAGGAATAAATTATGACAATGGAGATTTGAATTCAATGGAGAATATGTTACCCAATGGCTGCTCGGGCAAAAACTCCCGAATTCCATCCCCAGTCGAGAAGACAATGAGGTCAATTTGTCTTATTACTACCGATGACGGCTCATGGGCATCTGGTGTCTTGCTGAATAAACAAGGTTTGGTTCTTACAAACGCTCACCTCCTCGAGCCGTGGAGGTTTGGTAAAGCCTCTGCAAATGGTGACAGAATCGGAACTAAGTTCGAGGTTGCAATAATTCCGAACACCAATGATGAAGATTCGAGCCCGGATTTGGTTATCAATGAGAGGGCATTATCCGGACATGCCTCGACATTTTCGAACCACAGAAATGTGCGTGTTCGGTTAGATTCTATGGATCCTTGGATGTGGACGGATGCTAGAGTAGTGTATATTTCCAAAGGCCCATTGGATATTGCACTTTTGCAGCTCGATATTGTTCCTGATCAACTCTGCCCGATTCTTGTGGATCTTGGTTACCCTTCGTGTGGATCAAAGGCGTATGTGGTCGGGCATGGGCTGTTTGGACCTCGTTGTGGTAAATATTTCATATATCTCGTGTCTTCTTTTTTTAATTAGAAATATTTCATGTATCTTTATTTTGCATCATGTCAAGTGGGTGCAGGTTAATATACTATACCACGTTGAATCCTCTCGATGATGCTATACTTAATTCTATATAGATTTTTCTAATTTCGCAATTTTCGGATTTGTTTTTTCTTTTCTCAGACATCCTTCCATCCTCCTGCCTTGGCGTTATAGCTAAAGTAATCGAAGCCACTCAGTCACTACAGCTTAATTCGGACGAAAAGTTTCCAGTCATGCTGGAAACAACTGCTGCTGTCCATCCCGGCAGTAGTGGTGGTGCTGTTGTTAAATCGGACGGCCACATGATTGGCCTTGTCACAAGGTATACATAATTCGGCTATTTATGAAATCTTTATACTTTTGCTTCCTCTGATGTTAGTTAAAATACTTATTTTAATCTCATCCATTTTAAATACATTCGTCTTAGCTGTGAATGGTTTGTGTTTGTGTTGATTATTCGAGTTTATTTTGTGAATGGAATTGTTTTCGACAGTAACGCTAAGCATGGTGGAGGAACTGTCATACCTCATTTGAACTTCAGCATCCCTTGTGCTGCTCTTGAGCCTGTTTTTAACTTCTCCAAAGGTTAATTACTAAAAACCTCTTCAACTCTTTAGTTTGGCCTAACAGCTTCAGACATAAATCTCTTCACACTATGTCAACTAGATTAAGTTGTTAACTTTTTCTTGTTTGTTTATATAACTCAGATATGCAGGATCGAAGGATTTTAGAAGAACTTGACAAACCGAACAAACACCTCTCCTCCGTTTGGGCCCTGATGCCACCGTTATATCCTAAATTTTCCGAACAGGATAATGGGAAAAGCGTGAAGGGGTCTCGTTTTGCCAAATTCATAGCCGAGAAGAATGGCTTGCTGGATACGAAC